TGTAAAATTTCAAGTTCTTTCTTTACATTGTTTGGTACTATCATTATTATTATGAATACATCATACCTTCCATACTGGTCCTGGGCGTAACTCCAGCAGCCAGCACAGCTTGTCTCACAATTGACGGGATGGTTTCTTCTGATGGACAGATGGCTCTCTGATCTGCAGTCTGGAAAAAGAAATAAAATGAATGAATGWTGGAAAGATAGAAATGCATGAGTGGAAGGATGGAATGAATGGGATAGATGGGTGGATGGAATTAATAGGATAAGAGAGTRGRWAGATGMATRGATGAATRKGATAGWTGGGTGRAATTAAYGGGATAGGTGAATGGGATGGATGGAATAGATGGTATAAATGGGGGATGAATGAGATAAATAACTGGATAGATGAATGGAGTAAATGGTATAGGTGGATAGATGGAATGAATGAATGACAAATAACTGGATAGTATGGGTGAATAGACTGATGGGGAAAATGAACAAATCTAGGCGCAAATGGAATGGTTGGAGAGTGAATGGATGAATGCAAGATGCAAGATTAAATGAAAATTTGGGTAAATGGATGGAATTACTACTAATAACAAAGTAATTTGTATTTAATCAAATTTTAATAATATGACCCAAAAAAATTTTGAACATTTTTTTTGCACAGTGAATGTTTTACCTTTTTTGCACAATGATTTTAAAAAAATCAAAAAGTAGAAGACCAATCACAGTCAATAATTTTTGATGGTCATATTAGTACTCTGATAATATTAATTTGGCGGTTATCCTAACAGACTACCACTGATACCTTTCTTCTCTTTGGTGGCAAGCCGCTAAGATAAGCATCACTGAATGGAGCCTGCTGAGGAACTCTTAATTGTCGTATCACATCACGRTTGATAATAGGTACCCATTCCTGAGAAGAAAGAAAAAGCATATCAAAATTTTAATTGGACAACTTTATCAAGCTCTTAACATGAGATATACTTAGCTTGGGCGTAACGTTTTCTCATTTCAAACCATGTGTTATTCTTTTGAGAATAAGATTTTGTTTTTGAGTTATATCCATATTCATGTTAGCCTGCGTAGCGGCCCTCTGGTAGGGAATTTTGGGCGAGAGAAGAAGGGAGAGGGAGAGGGGACTGGGGAGGGGAAAAGGGAAGGAGAGGGGGGATATTCATGTGTCTTCTCAGGAGCAATTGTTAAATAAAGAAAGGATACTCTAGGGAATGACATGTGGTCTGAAATGGGAGAACATTACGCCCAAGGTAAAGACGTCTATACTGGACAGTATTATGTTACTATGCTCACCTCTGGTACAATTCTTTTCCATTCTTCACCATTTCCAGACTCTATTTCCATGTGTTTGGCTTCATCATTGTGCTTAGCAGACAGTTTGTCTTTATCAATATCTTCCTCATCTTTAGGGTCTAATTCCATGGCATCCTCACATGACGTGTGTTTGTCTTCATTGGTATCATTAGCAGACAGTGAAGCGGGAGGAGTTTCAAATGCCTCAGAATCGTCAGAGTGTTGGCTGTTAACCTCTGAACTATCGACCTAAAAATATAACACAAACTTGAAACATTGCAATCGAATGCTACGGTAAAAGTAGACTTTCATATAGATTAGTTTTCATATCACTTTGGAACATAATGGGCGCAGCACGGTRACAATACAGAATACACAACACCTATTGAATCAACCAATCACAGTGCACAAGATTAATGCTCATCCAAWGAAAATGCTCAGACACTGCATGGTCACTGCATGGCTGTACAGTATATCATCAATTGTTCACAGACGTAAGCGGTTTGCTTGAATGTGATGACATACCAATGCAATTTATCTACGTCACATGTCTACAAAATTGGCAGGAGAGGAGTAGACTTATCAACAAAATGATGACATGACATTGAAAAGAAAATTGGGTGCAAACTTCCAAAATGTGCAAACATGCAATTTAGAAGTTCTARCATACCACATTTGAAGATTGTTCTGCTGCATGGGCTTGTTTGCCTTGATCTTTCTTCGCTTCCTTTCTTTTCACATACTGATTGAGAGATTCTTCTCTCTGTGGCCTCAGTGTATTAGCAGTATTTATATTCTGCATCACTGTCATTTGAAAGCTCCTCATGACCATCGGATGAACACCTCGTGTGAGGGTGAAGGATGGCTGGAATAAAAAAAGTACACATAAGTAGTGGCCAGAGCAGTTTTCCCATGATGGTTCCAAAAAGTAGTGGTTAGAGTAGTTGTTACCATAAGTGCGCTGTTCCATGACCGYGATGTTTTCTAGAATTTTAATTGGCTGATTTTTTTTCACACAATGTTATTGGTCTCACAGTGCCGTGACCTTGGCACGACTATTTCTGCACCATGTTTATGTTTGATTGGATGGAGTAGTAAACTATCAAGCAACGTGAATGGTCTCACGTATGCCTTGCCATGTTACAACTGTGTTTGTGCGGTGAGCTATAGACAGACATACCAAAACTGCTTTATGTGAGAAGATGTTCAGGTTTGAAGGAGATTATTCCTAGAGATCATTCAAAAACCTTCAGACTTTGGTAAGCTGTACTCACCAATCTCCTTGTTATTATGTTCTGTGCTCCTTGCACCCCATCACGAAGACACATGATTAATAAGATACACAAGTCTGTACAAGAACGCTGGGCATGGCCAGGGAATTGAGCAGCAAATTCAATATCATCTATAAAATGAAAATCAAATGACATTAACAATAGTAGGAACTTATGGATAAATTGAATTACCATAAGAAGCTTTGTTAAACTGACGTTTCAGATGTTAGTCCTTCCTCAGAGTAAGAGGCTAACATTAACAATACTATAGGGATGCAAAAACCTTACCCGCATCTTTACAAGGATGAGGGTGGGGAGGGARGAGGGCAAGTTAAAACCATGGGAACAAATTGGACTTACTTAACCATGCTGGGTTACTAAGAGAAGTTAACATAAAGGGTTCATTTAATACTCCAGTTTCTTGCTGTTGAGATGCAGGGTTAGCCCCAAGTCAAAATACTTTTTTGCATTTTCCTTTGTGCTTTCCTGGACATTTGGGAATATATCTGTGCTAGTATGTTGGCTGTCAAATATTACAACATTAATTATTGTAACTAGAAAAAGTCTATTGCTTATTGCTTATTGAATGCTTACAGCCCCCCCCCCCCCCCCCCCCCCCCCCCTCCATTTTGTGGTTGTTTTAGAGAAATGTTACTCGGCGGGTACTAACCTAAGTCTCTTGCCATTATTAGAACTCTTTGAATTGAATGTTCTAGATAACTTTGCATTGATGCATTTATATCRATGTCATCTCTAGAAGGAACAGACATCTAAAGGGGGAATAAGAAGGTGTTAGCTAACAACAGGAGAAAAGACACTGGTGATCATGATGATGACTGATAACGATAATGATGATGATGACATTGATGATGCCATTGCTAATGGTTATGAAGATGATGACAGATCATGGTAGATCATCATGTTGGATGATAATGAAGGTGATGTTGCCAATGATGATGACTGATGATGATAATTATGATGACATTAATGATGCCATTGCTAGATGATGCCAATGATGATGACTGATTATGAT